GTCAAACGTCCAAGGTGCCCAATCGAGCCGGTGACCATTACCACAACCGAAAAAGTGTGGATGTGGTTCGTACGCCTCTTCTTGGCTGGTTTAGAATCAGGCTTTTTGGCCAACATTCCTAGGTCAACTACTAGTGGTCCACCAACCGGGTTATAGTCCCGGATGTCGGCTATTCCTCCTCTCACTTGGTGGGAAATCACCTCCGCTGACACGAAAAAGGCGGTGAATAGGGTTTCCCCAGCAGAATTAGCTATTTGAGACGCTTGGTCTAATGAGAGCATTTAGCGAGGTTCAAGGGAAAGGTGACCATCCACAACCCTAGACACCCACCCTCTATAATACCCTCATACCTTGCTCCCTCCTTACCGGTGACATCAATACCGGTCGTCTTACATCGCAACCATACACTCTTCCGATACGCATCTTAGCGTACTGCCTAATTCAGCAAAAGTATACTCCCCCGTTTTGAAAATGATGAAGTTACACAGTAATATCACTTTGGGCATCGAAATATCTCCCGGCTGTAGCTTCCCTCCTTGTCACAAACGGCCAGCAGTGAGACTAGATTATGTACCGAATAGTCCGTCTCCTATGCTTTCAATATTAAAACCGGAATTCTCCGCCTTGCGTCCCATTCATTCTTACGTCGATGCAAGTCAACGGAGTAGCATTCGCGAGAATCATGTTATCGGATTGCATCACTTCGAGCCTCCTGAACCCACTTAGGTAGATTTATGCCTGAACTGTATAGACTCGTTTTCTCCACGGGGCTCGCTGCCGGGCAGAGTAAATGGAGATACGCCACTGGATATCCCTCGGCTCGTATTCTCTCAGCTCAAAATGATACAAGGCTTTGCGGGCGACGATATGACAGGGACATGGGGGGGTGTGTGTGTGTGGCACGGAGACACTGGCAGTCAGGTCCTTCATGGGTGGGGGTTAAAGCTGAATCTGCAAGGCAAAGCCAAGAAAACGCCATAAACCAAAAAGCTGCAGTGAAATACAAGCACTCACGATAACATATTACCAGCGTGGTTGCCAAGCGTTACACTCAAGTTGTATGAACTGTTTTGTTGCAAAACAATCTCGCATTCGTTCTCCCCCGAATCCCAATGTGAAACCGGTTTCACTCGTTTGTCTAATCAGACCCTGACAGATACCGCTGGTCAATTTTCATTCAACCGATTACCGGGTGGAGACTATATTCTTTTACCACAATACAGTTTGATGGGCTCAACTCAGTCGAAACGGCCAGTTGAGTTTGCCTTCAAACCTCCCGTTAGGCATGTCACAGTCGCACACACCGACATCAATTTGGGTCCAGCCGCATTTCAAACAGCCGCGTTTCAACTACGACCGGGTCGTGTGATCTGGCCCAATGGTCAACCGATCCGTGAAGCAAAGGTAAGTCCGTTTTGGGATATGTTTTCATCCTGTTAACCTATCGCGATCGATATTCAATCTCGTTTCTTGGTTATTGGTTGCTTCGATTGCCTTTGGGCGCGTGACATTATTGAGGTCATAATCCGAAAGAAACGGATTCGGTAAACAGATAGAGATTCTAGTGTATCCATATTTATGTATTTCACTTACTTTACTTTACTTTACTGCGGCTGGCCCAAAGCCGGCCGCAAATATGACCATGAAGTTCCTTGGGACACGAGAGACGTCCCCGGCGTCACTCGGCGTTTTTTATTTCGAGGACGCATCTCTAATCTTTGCGCAACCAAATGCCATCTGCAAGGCAACAGGAAGTAATTCCTCCCCTCCGAAGTGAGGAGATCAAGGATTTTATTTTTAAAAGGCCAGTCACATCGACCTTTGTCACCAAACCGTCCGTCATTGGGCTTATGTAGCTTTTAAACAGGAGCCAGGTGACCAGCCTAAAGCTCACCACACCCTGGTAGTACCGCCACTGTTTGTTCACGACTGCTTGTTTGTTGCGGTATGCCACAACTTATTCACAGCTAACCCTAATCGATGAAGGTCTCCCGCTATCCTCAACCCGGGCATGCACCTGGTAGCATTCAGCTCTGTTTAACCCGAGAGTATCCAGGATATTTATGTATTCGCGAAACATATACTCCCCGCTCGCGATGGTCATCGAATCGATCGGTGACAAAGCATGTTGGGCACGCTGGATGTCTGATTTCGTCAGCTGGGCATATGGTACATCTGTTCGAACACCAGTCACCAATGACATGAAAGTTGAATCTCTGTCTGTCTGTCTGTCTTCTCGCACCTTGGAAAAATCCCACGCAAACACTTGCACAACATAAGTTGGGCCCATCATCTGCACAGAGATATCGCTTGGATTTTGAGAGTAATTCCGACTGTGCACACTTCGGTCTCGGTTTTCCAGCTTATGCCCTGATCTACTTCGCAGTATCTTGCAAAACGATTTCGGTCATCGTATTGTGTGTAACTTTTGCAAGCACTGGAGCTCACATTTCAGTCAAAAAATCATGCATGCTAACCGTCACAATGTACATAAGCAACGGTGAGAAAATTTTTTTACAGGCATGGGGACATTTCATAATCCAAGGTTAAAACAAAGTTCACTTATTTGTCCGCTCTTTGTTTATCAGTAGACGAGCAAGATACGATATAGGCAGATTGCGGTAGGCGTTGATTGGAAATGAAATTTGGCGGAATTGGGATCTTATTGAATGATAAGAACCGCAACGTGTCAACTCTACTTGCAATGGGTGGTCAGGATCTGTGAGAATCCTCTCAGCAAATGCCACACAGGAAAATACGTGATACTCTGAAAGCATGGAAGCTAACTCGTGCACAGGAATAGAAGCGACACAACTAATAATGGTTAGACCACGACGTAAGACTTGTAAATCCTGTTTGAGTAAGCCAGGAAAAATAACTGGCGAACAGTAGAGTAAGATGGGGTAAAACACACTGATAAACAAAGGTAGAAATAACTGACTGGGATGCGCGAAACTGCCTGAGCTTATTTGAAATGAGAGGCTCCGCAATTTATCAATGCAGTTGTGGATGTGGGTTGACCAATGGAGATTGCTGTCTATGGTTACACCAAGATATTTGACAGAGTTTACCCTGGATAAAGAATTGTTATTAATCACTGTGGGGTCTGTCGGATATGGAGACTGGGTAAAACTATATGGAAACCCAACACATTTACTGGGGTTTAGGGTCAGCCCCGATGAGAAGGAGAATGACTGAATTTGTTCAAGATTGTCGGTGAAGGAGCTTAGATCAGAGTGAGAAGAAATGAGTCGGCACAACACGACATCATCTGCATATTTCAAAATTCTTGCCGGAGAAACACAGGGAATATCACAAATATAAGTGGAAAATAAGTATGGGGATAGCGCAGCTCATTGAAGAACCCCGGAGTTGTTGAATAAAGGTTTAGATGAAGACTTCCNTCCTCAATCTAGTGGTTTGTGCTTTATCAGTAAAGTAGTTGGATAGCTAAGCTCACGACTGCTTGGGGCATTCAAAGGATTCCAGTTTTTGTAACAACTTAGATTGAGGAATGGAATCAAATGCAGAAGACTAGTCCAGACAAACACACCGAACAGCCTTAACAGAGCTCTGTTCAAAGATTAAGTGGCGAAATGAATGCGGATGGAGATTAACTTCCGCAAACTGAAGAAGGAGTAAATTAGTATTTCTATTTGCACATCATCAGAAGAAGGAAATAAGACGAGTGAAACATTTCAATCTCCCCAAGGTTGC